GAGAGACTGAGGACCACAGAGACCATTGGGGGCTGTAGGAAGGAAGGAAGAGGCTGCTGTGTTTGATACTGCTTTGGACCTCTGCTTCCCTCAGAGATAGGGTTGTCATTACTCTCTTCCACAAAACCGGGACAAAATGTAGGACAATCAGGAAAAGTGGAGGACACGACCAACTAAAAGCCAAAATAAAATAAAATAAACATTAATATGGTTTGTGTGTTGGACAAGGATTCTAGAGACCGGGGTTTGAATCCCTGCTTGGCTAAGGAAACCCACTAGGTGATCTTGGGCCAGTCACACTCTCTCAGCCTCAGGGGAAGGCCATGGCCAGGACATGGCCTAGATTTCAGCCTTCTGTCAAAATGGCCTCCATTTGGAGCACATCTAAGATGCACGGATTTATATTTATAGAGGGTGACCAGCTATCCTAACCACAAAGGAGGATAAGGCACACAAAATGTAGGACATTCAAGAAAAATGTAGGAATCTTCAAACACTAATATAAATACATGGTGATCTGATGTCCTCCATTTCCAGGACACATCTTACATTTCAACCTTCTATCCAGGAGGAATACCAAAATGTCCTCCATTTTGAGCATGGCTAAGAGGCATGAATTTATATTTTTATTATTATTTATTTTATTTCTATGCCGTTTTCTCCCAAAAAAGGGATGAAGGTGGCTCACATGATAAAATATATATTTCCAGGAGTATTTTTAGGTTTTGTTTGTGTGCCTTGTCTTCCTTTGCGGTTAGGACATCTGGTCATCCTCAGCTGGCTTCCTTTGCCTTTGAAAGCTGCGTGACAGGCAGAAATTAAACAGGTGAAGACCAGCAGCTGCAGCTGGAAGAAGCACAGCTGATAAAGATACATATGCCAGGAAAAAGAAAAGGAAAGAGAAAAAAACAGCCTTATGGAGCATATCAGCTTTCATCTTAGTGATAATGTGATTAATGAAAAACACACTTGTGCTCAAGGTGTCTGTTCACCCCTTAACAGCGAAAGCACAGTAATCCTGATAGCAAGACTTAAGAAGTATTGTGTTAATACAAATGTATTACTTTTTGCAGTACCTTGTCCTCCTTTGCAGTTATACATCTAGGCATCCTGTATGAGATCCCTTTGCATACAGATTTCCCATTTATAAATTACCATTTAAAGGGGCCTCTCTCAGTGGCTTAGACTGTGGTCTGCTTTTTGTTTTGTTTTTGGCACAGATTTAATCCTGCTGCTTCTACTGCAATTGCTGTAGGTCATTATATATATTTTCAAATAAAGTCTTTTAGCAACTTTCAAGTGGTCCATGATATATAGGGAGTAAGTGGTCCATGATTTGGGAAGTGAGGATCATTGCTCTGATGTCTTGTCGGAAAACTGTCTCACCTGAGCCAGGTATGCTCTTGGATTTCTGGTACTCATCCCTGGTGAATCACTGCCCTCACTTTTGCATTCACCATCATTCTCTAGAAATTGGATGAAGGGGTAGTAGATTTGCTGCCTGCTGCAGGAGTTTCCATTTTGTTTCCACTATACTTTTTTGTGTGTGCGATTTAACTGTAAAAAAATCAACACCAAAAGAACTTTCTGGTTGTTAAAATATAACTGCAATACAAAGACATTCTGCATTATACATAACAGATATAAAATGAGGGCGAGATAGTGCAGACAGATGGTGGGGAAGAAGAAGAAACAATAGTAATAAGAAACAACAAACAGCAGTTGGCCTCTGTGACTTTCTCACTATTTTAGCCCCTATGGTGGATTTTTTTGTAGGAAAATAAAAACCCTGTTAAGATGTTTGATACTTAACTCATACTTTCCAGAAGTGAGAAGTGTCTGTTAAAATCTAGATTTTAAAAAAAATGGTAGGGAGAAAAGCAGATACATTTGTTTTGTTGCAATATCATTAGATGCCATAATTTCTTTTTTTCCAATAAAGCTGAGCTAATAATAACAGAAGATGTATGCATTTCAAATGTTGGCTAACATTTCAATCTTTTAACTTCTGTAAACAATCATAATTTTTGTTTTGAAGAAAGGTGGTTTGTCTCTGCATGATTTGTATATCTGGCACCTATTGTGCATCTGTGGCATTTATTCCTTCTCAGGTTTGTAATTTACTTCTGTAACTTGGCTATAGAATGATTGTGTCATTCATATATATATATATATGAAGAACAGTTGTCAACAAGATCAATAAACAGGACAAAATACAGATGTCATAATTTTAAATGTTTTAACATATTTAAATGTTTTAACATTTTAAAGCAGACGTCTTCAAAGTGACACTAATTAGAATTCAGAGTTCTTTCATTTAAATAAAAGATTCAAGAGTTGATGAATTCATTTAAAAAACCTTTCTTGTCATCACATCCCATTGAAGTGTGACAAAATATGCATAAGCTCTGGGATCCAGAAATAGTCTTTAGAGCAGACCCATTGACAGATCTGGAAATTTAAAAACTGTGACAAATCTAACAAGTCCCATTTACCTCAGTGAGTCTACTCTATGTAGCACTAGGTTTGGGTCCAGCTTATTGTTTTGGAATGCCATTTCAGTAGCTCAGTTAAACCTGTGAAGAGGCATCTTGTTTTATAGACTTTTCAATAGCTTGACTGTGCTGAACCACAAGCAAATCATACCTGATTTGCCCCTCAAAAGAGCAAAAAAATGAGCACTGAAACAAATCCTTGTAATTACTGCTTCTTGGGATGAGGATATCTAAATTAGCCATTCCTTTGAACCATATTGACTGTTTCTGGAGTGCAATAGTCAGAATAAAATATGTTTAATTGCTGCTGCTCAATATGGTTGTATCTGGGGTCTAGACACTACCAGCAAAAAGTC